CAAGCAGGGCCGGCGCTGCCTTCGCTACAAAGAGGGAGGTTTGCATTATTGGGGGGAGAGGGGGTGTCTCCATGCAGAAGGGAAGATGTCCCCAAAGGGAGCTGAAGGTGGTGGGGAGCAGGAGAGAGAACCAATAGGAAGTGAGCACCTGCCTGAAGCCCGCGTTAGCCATTTGGCGAGAGTTGCCATTTCCTTCTGCTCCTGTGTCCAAACATCAGCAACCACTGCTAGTATTTTTTTAAATTTCTTTATCACTTTATGTTGGTCACATTCCTTATGTCTTGGTTTCTCCTGACACACCTTGCAATGTTGCCAGGGCAAATATGATCACCGGGGCATGCAGATGAGGAAATAGAAACACTGAGGAGTGACTTGTCCCGAATCGCCAAGCCCGCCTGTGGTGTGGCCAATACTAGTATTTATACTAGTGTATAATCTTGTTATTCATCTAGTTTCTCCCCTGCATCATGACCTGCTCTTCTCTCCAACCCCCGTGGAGCTCTGTGATTCAGCGTTATAGAAATACAAGAACAGGTCTTGCCAGAGGTTTGTGAAATGGCATGAAACCTTGCGCCTGGAGGTGGGGGAAACTGTACAGCTGACACGTGTTCGGACCACTGAAGTCGTCTTAAACGACCAAGAGGTAACAGTGCCACTTTATGTATATCTTTGCACCCCAAACGGGAAGAGATGTTCTATGTTTTCCACCCAAGTACAGAACATTCCAAAACTTAAGTAGGTCACAAAATGGAGATCAACACGTTCTTAAAAGACATACATCATACAGACCAAGTCACCAGTCAAAGTGTAGTAAGGATCAAATTAACAACAAACATCTCCTGATTGGGATACAACTGGAAATTTAAAGATGCTTTAAATCTTACAAACTCTTTGGAAATGGAAGAAAACCCAAAAACTGTAAAGAACAAAATCAGGAGCATATGGAAAAGCCAAACCTATGATATACAGTATTAAATCAATTTATTGCAAAACAATGTGTGAACCAAGAAACTTAGAAAAAATGCAAAAAACATACATTAACTAATCAATATAAAAGCAGAAATGAATGAAATAGAAAAGTCAAGAAAACCTTAAAGTCTTGGTCTATAGAAGAAATCTTTCTCTGGAAAGATCAAAAAGCAAATCAAGAAAATAATCCAGAAGCAGACAATACAACTAACATTAGTAAGTAAAGATGGTATATAATCACAAAAGACAAAACACACACTACTGAAGCAATAATTTATTTAGAGAGATAGTTTTGCTATAGGGCATATGCACTCACCAGAGACACAGAGAAAAAGAAAGTAGAAATCACCTCAGGGCAGATGGCCACACCACAATCCCTTTTCCACTCTCCTCTTGGGATTTGGGCATGTGAGTATATACACACCTGGCTTGAGTTTCAAGCCACTGGGTCTAGGTCTCAAGCCATAGTTGGCCAAGAAGGAGAAAGGGACTCATAGGAGAATCCACTTACACGGTCAGGCCAATAGTTAAAGTACTGGGAAGTCCATCACTATATTTACATTCGTTTCCAGATCGTATTATTTATTGTCTAGCCAGTCAGGTACCCAGTCGGGTATGCATCTGCTAAGGGTGGTCTTACTCTTAGGGGATCAAAATTCAAGTATGAAATGTGAGTTTTTCTCAAGTTTCCGACTGTGGTATTGTGGAAAGACTGTGGACTTTGGTGCAGAACAACTCTGGGTTCAAGTCCCAACTCTCTACAACCAGCTCTGCAGTCTGAGACAAATGATCTAATATCGATATACTTATGAAGTGGGAATAATATTGACTTCGAGGGTTCTTTCGAAGATGAAATGAAACATCATTTATAATATTCTTATCATATGCAGTTTCCCTCCATCACCACTTTCCCTTAATAGACATCTTTCGGGAACTTCTCTTTTGTCCATTGTCATTTCTCCTGTGGTTGGGTTCTGCTGAAGGCTCTCTTCCTGGTCCCTGGCTTGCAGTGGCCTACTCAACTACCCCATGACTCTGCAGCAATCAGAGGAACCCAAATATCATTACTGAGTGCCCTTGGGATGCTTTGGAAAGATGCCCCCCTCCCCCCCCCACTGTGCTAAAGTAACTTTTCTTTCATAAAGTTACAAATGACAAAATCAGACCGAGTGCCCTTGGGATGCTTTGGAAAGATGCCCCCCTCCCCCCCCCACTGTGCTAAAGTAACTTTTCTTTCATAAAGTTACAAATGACAAAATCAGATCTGCCTCTTCTTTCTTTCTTTCTTTCTTTCTTTCTTTCTTTCTTTCTTTCTTTCTTTCTTTC